CTTTGCGGGCCCCGGCGCGGGGGGGGGGGAAACCTGAGGGGTTGAATCCCTTTGCGGAAAAGGGAAAAAAAAAAAAAAAAAAAAAAAAAAAAAAAAATTCTGCTGGTGCATTTCATCCAAATCTAGATCATGTTAAGAACCATAACTATGAGACTCTTAAAGTCTGCAGAAATCTTTTAAAAATTAGGGTTTTGCCTTATGTTTTGCTAAGTTGGTATATGACTGTATAAACATTAATTCTAATTCCCTAAAGAGTCTTTCATGTAGTTAAAATTCATGTAGTTCATTTTTTCTTGAATGTAGGCCAGGGGACTGATTTTTCTATTCAAACGGATATATTTTTCTCAACAAAAATGAAAACTATATAAACCAATGTTTTCTTTTTGTACTTTAGCCATATGAAAATGTGAAGCCAAATGTAATGGATGAACATAGTAATTATTTTACCTTTGGTACCTGGTAACAAATACTCTTTTTGTTCCTTTAGTCAGAATTTGTTTAATTCCTAAACATTTTTTGTTGTTGGGGGCTAATACATAATATTTTGAAACATCTTACAAGTAAGTAGAATATGAATTTGCAGGGAAAAATTAGCTTAAATGTAAAGTACTTAATTCTCAGTACAGTAAACGATAATATAAATACAAGTTCGAAAGCAGCATTTTAATAAAAATAGATAAAATTCAACCAATTTTAATCCAAGACCTGTTTACTCAAACCAGATCTTAGTTTATTCTGGTCCCTCAGAAACTAGAGAGACTGTCTCCACTGCCCTCGGGGATTAGTGCTTAGAGAAAGGCCTGCATTGCCCTCAGGCTGATACTTTTGAAAGAATGGATATAGTCCACTCCTAGTCTAGAATGTTGCCAATTTCTCCTTTGTAGTTTAGTTAATTTTTTATTATGCTTCAGGTGTTGAATTGCCGTGTATCAGATGCTCGAGATTCAAACAAGTATACCCCATGTCTAAAATATATATAGAAAACAAATAGGAAATATTTTGCTTATTTTCTCACAGTATTCTCTTGTACTTGTTCATGATTTGACTGTGACTGGACCTTTTATTTATGGTGGATGTTCTAACCCTGATGAATTAATGTAGGTAATCTCAATGTATTGTATTTTTCCTCTGGAAAGGGGGAGATTGAGGTAGCCATACTCCAATATGATAAAATGACAGATATTCAATTAATAGAATCTTGGTATGTTTCAGGGTCATCATATAGACTACTAATTGAAATTATGGTTGTCCTGATTGAAACCTGTCGCTCTATAAACCAGAGAAGTCCTAAATCCCATGTGAATAGTGTGGTTGGCTACGGTGTGTATAGTTTATATAAAATGTCCTTATGAATGCTTATAATTACATAAAATTTATTCTTTTATTTTTATAGTCTATTCGGCACTTGAAGTACTCCTTGTTTAAGAAATCGCTGTTGGGTAGTGTTTCAGATAATGGAATAGTAACTCTCTGGGATGTAAATAGTCAGAATCCTTACCATAACTTTGACAGTACACATAAAGCTCCAGCTTCAAGCATCTGTTTTTCTCCTGTCAATGAACTGCTATTTGTAACCATAGGCTTGGATAAAAGAATCATTCTCTATGACACTTCAAGTAAGAAGTAAGTATAACATATTCATTTCTTAATTTAGTAACTAGTTATCTCATCAACAAATATATTTGTGATTTATAGAAACCTCTGATTGACATCCAGGGTATCTAAAGTTTGTACACTCGAGGTATCGACTAACATAGAATTTTCTTTTTTTCTTCCCATGCAGAAAAAAAGTAGATGGGACATGGATATTATTTAAGATACTTCTGGAACATGAACATTGGGAGATAGCATCGTAATGATTTCATATCTTTATTTCAACACACATATTACTCTTTTTCAAGATATAACCAAGTGCATATATTTTAAAGCAATATAATTTGCTTTAAAATTAATTCATTATCTAGAGCAGGGTTTCTAAATTACTGATATTTTGGGTTGGATAATTCTTTGTTGTTGGGGGCTGTCCTGGGCATTATAAGATATTCAGCAGCATTCCTGGCCTCTACCTGCCAAATATCACCTGGGGACAAAATTGCCCCCAATTTAGAAACACTCATCTAGAACTAGGGGTACACAATCTTCTAAGCATTTGGGCCCTTTGTGTCTTCTTCAGTTATAGGTATGCTTAGTCAGCTTAAAAACAACACACACACACACCCTCATTCACATGCACACACAAATACAGCTTCAAGAATGCTGCATTTGTATTGGAGATACTTCACAATATCCAAAGGTCATGTGGAATGTTAATGTTACCACTAGGGAAGGTCTCACTGTCAGCCCTTGTTGTGATGCTAGAGTTTTTACTGTTACTTATTTCACTCTCTCATTTTGGACATAACATATTTAGAGCCATAAGGGTCAGTGAGCCTTTCTTTTCTTATACCAGACACACTAGCAAAGAGCTCAGCTTCATTAGATCAGTATCCATATTCCTGTATTAGCTTCTGAGGATCAAAACACATGGACTCTCTTCCTCTTAGCTTTTTGGTCAAGAGATGCACAACTAAGAACAGAGTAGCAGCTGCTCCCTTGTGAAAGGTCATAGTCCTCCTAAGGCCTAAGCAGGTCAATAAATGGAAAGTGGATACTTAGAGCCTCCTCAGCCCCGAGGCTAGGAGCCCTTATTTTGTGGAGTAACACAAAGAAAATCTGTCACATTCAATGCCAAAGTAATTACTCAGAGAAATAGGTGCTGCTTTTGGAAGATGCAGAATGTTCCTATTGGAAGTGAGTAGAAAAATAGGACGGAATGTTCAATATTTCTTTAGAAATGTCTTTAAGTCAGATTCTAAATGTCTGCTTTAAACAGGTATTTGGGATGTGTATGGTTTTGGTATATACTTATTTATATGTTATTTAAGCTTATACACCTGAATACACTAACTACATATATACGAATTTTTCCTCCTTTCCAAAGGCTAGTGAAAACTTTAGTGGCTGACACTCCTCTAACTGCAGTAGATTTCATGCCTGATGGAGCTACTTTGGCTATTGGATCTTCCCGAGGGAAAATATATCAGTATGATTTAAGGATGTTGAAATCACCAGTTAAAACCATCACTGCTCATAAGACATCTGTGCGATGTATAGCATTTCAGTATTCCACTACTCTTAGTAAGGTGAGATATTTTCAGTATTTTTGATTTTACTGAATAAATTTAGTTCAGAGTATGGAAATTATATGTGGCCAACTAAACAGTGTAGTTTTACTTCATAATCATTTTTATATGATAGCATTTTAAATAATTTCAGTATAAAGCCATTTAATACTTTGTTTAAAACTTCATTTTAATTCTCATATATTTCTTCAAAAGTATTTTTAAAGGCTTTTATTTATTTGTTTATTTGGTTCAGAAGGAAATGCAGATCCACCAGCAAACTTACTTTAGATTTGTAAGGGAAAAATATTTTTTAGCCTAACAGGGAATTTATAAAATATTAATACATAGTATGAAACATTAGTAACCTGAGCTTTTAAATTTTCCATTACATTTCAGTCAAGTTTAAATAAAGGCTGTTCAAATAAGCCCACAGCAGTGAACAAACGAACTGTTAATGTGAACACTACTAGTGGAGGAGTTCAGCATTCTGGAATTGTCAGAGAAGCAACAGCCACTTCCATTGCCACAGTTCTACCACAGCCCATGACAACAGCTGTGGGGAAAGGAACAGCTGTTGTTCAAGACAAAGCAGGTAAATGTTGCTTATAGTATTTGGAGTTCTTTTTTCCTCCCCAAGTATATAATTAGCAGATTTTTCAGGAACCTAGAACTCAAATTCATTTGAGTATTTAGGTAAAATTATTAGTAGATATGATTGAAAAAGTGAAAATTTAGTTTTAGCTGTAATTTTTTTAAAAGTTAAGGCACTTACTTTATTTAGCTGAACTTCTGTTGTGAGAAATATTGATTATATTAAAAATGGAATGATGCCAACTCAGAAATTATTCATTCTTATGCTACTACAGACTGGATGACTTTCCATTGTGTCTTCAGATTAGTCAATAGAGATATTAAATGTTGATACCATTGTGATTTGATCTAGTTTTAAAAAAGCTATTAATGGCTTTTTTTAATTTCATATTTCAGAATGAAAAGTAAGTCAAGTGATGAAATGAATATTTTTCAGTGTTGGATAGTTCCTGACACATATTAAGCAGTATATTAGTAGTTTGTTAAATGAAAATGAATGAAAATGTGGAAATTTTTTAATGATTTCTTCTACTCCAGTAATCATATTGATGAAACAGTTCTGAAACAGGAATTCATTTAGACTTTGTGAAGGTGTAATATGATGGTAAGCTTCCCTGTATTTATCGTAAAAAATATTCTTTGGCCCCAATAAAGATCATATTCCATAAATTTCTGAAGAACTTTCTGTTTTTATTTTAAGGAGTTATGCTATACTGTCAATTTATGACAGATATTTCTAAAAGTCCGCAGGGTATACCAGTATGTTTCCAAAATATTTGCTTACTAGACATAATAATGTATCCATGTCTTTTTAAATTTTCTGGACAAGTACTTGGGCAAAAATATTTGTTAGTGTCTTCTCAATATGAGTTTACTATTTCCAAGTAGAAGCAAAACTTTAATTTATTGACCTTGATGGTGTGCTTTTTAAAATACATACATATAGAAAAATAATTAGGTCCTCATTCAAGACCTCCTGGAGACAAAGACCATTGCTGTCTACTTAAAAGAATAAATTGTTTTTGTAATATGACTAATGTCTGCCAAGATGTTGAATTAACTATATTATGAAAATTGTCATTTTCATAAATTATTGTATAATTTATTATTAATTTTATTCACAATTTTTAAAAATTAAACAAAATATTCTCTCATTTACTGTAAACTCTCTGAAGTCTCACCGTTATTCATTTAGTTTTTAATAAGAAGGCTTTTGTTTAACAATGACAGCATTAATTAGGAAATGAAAGACTTAGGTCTGTTAGGTTACTGATTAATGATAATTCTTGACGGATTCCCAAAATTTCTGGAAAAAGGAGTGTTTGCTCTGCCCCCACAAACAGGTTAGAGATTTTGGTTTTTTAATTTTATTTTGAAATAATTGCCAACTTAACAGACAAGTTTTAAAAATAGTACAAAGAACTCCTGAGCTTTACCCTTTAGCAGATTCACCACTTTATAAATTTTCCATATTTTGCTTCATTGTTTGCTCTGTTTCTCTCAAATACACAAACACCACACATGTACACATTTTTTTCCCTTCTGAAACAAAGACTCAGTTCTATCACTTCCTACTAGGATTGCTTCAGGCAGTTTTCTTAACCTCTCTGAGTCTCAATTTTTACCTCCATACACTGAGATAATATTTAATTATTATATTAAATATGATATTTGGCTATTAATATTTAATTATCTCAGTTTGTGGAGAGTTGTTGTGAAAATCAGAAAAAATGAATCAGAAGTGCCTGGCACATGGTAGGCACTCAGTAAATTACAGTGTTGCTAATATCATTATTGCTGTTATCATGATCATCACTATTACTATTATTTTAAGCTTTGTGTAAAATTAATCTAAAATTTGAAAAAATTCTTGATGCTTCTACTGACCGTTCTGATTTAGTTATTCCAAAGAAGCTCTGCAGACTTATTACTGGTGCTTATTTTTAGTAGAAAACAATCATATAAGAAGTGAGAAGTAAGGCTTTAGCACTGCTTTTAAATGGTACCAAACTTCTGTTTCCTAATTTTCCAGAGGCTAGAATTATGCATTCAAACATGTTAAGGACCTAGAAAAAAGGAGAGGAAATTTTTTCTTTATAACAGCTTACCTCTTGGTGTAAACACTCTTCAAACATAATGATATACAAATGACTTGGTTGTATTTTAAGTTTCTAGCAGGTGTTCTTAGGAAAGTTTATTTCATTAGCCAGTCTTGGACATTTTTGTATATACAAGCTATTTTTTGTTTTCATCCCAGGCTTTTCTGTTTTCATTTGGGACCGAAATGCCAAATAAAACACTTTCTAAAATAAAATGTAATATAGTAACATGCTACCTCTCCAGATGCCAGATTTTCCTTAGAGATCTTGAATCTGTAGAACTCATCCTTAACCCAGAAAATGAGCAAGAAGCTTCTGCATCTACAGGGTTCCTCTTACAAAGGCCCTGGCCTAAAGCCATGTGTTATATATTGTCAGAGAATAAACTGCTGCAGCCTCTTTATTGTTGTCTGTTATTCTTCATGAGTTTGGTATTCTGGTTTCCTTCCTCTTAGTACACTACAGAGGTTAGTGTAGTCATCTGAGATTAATAATGCTGAGGGCAATGTTAAACTCTCACTGTTAGTGAAAGAAAGTTAGAAAAGGGGAAAAAAAAAGAGACCCGTTCATTGCAGGTTGGGGAAGGGAACTAACATTAATTGAATCCGCTGTATTTTAGGCATTGTGCTATATGCCTTATAGGCTTTTTTTTTTTTTAATCACTTGTAGATGATCATAAGAGTCAGTAATAAAAGTAAGGTATGTTCAGCATACTTTAAGAGGGTAGCAAATTATTTTAGAAAAATTCCATCAGAATGGCTAATCATTCAGTATTGTTGAATGAGCAGTTATGGTATTTAATTTTGAGGAATGCTTTATTCCATGAAAATGCTGGTTAACTTAGCTCTTGTCACGTTCTGCTTTCTTTTCCTAATGCTAACAGTATGAGTAATGCATTAACTTTTACATCCTAGCTTATGATGATAAAATTTATTTAGATGTAATAACACTGATTTTTATATCTAATTCCTATAAGGTTTGCCTCGAAGCATAAACACAGATATTTTATCTAAGGAAACAGACAGTGGACAAAATCAAGATTTCTCCAGCTTTGATGATACTGGGAAAAGTAGTTTGGGTGACATGTTCTCACCTATCAGAGATGGTAAGTCCACTCAGATAAGAGGATCATGTTCTCTTGCTGGTAGTCATTACATTTTTATTCTGGCTAAAAGATGTGGGTAATAGCTTCAGTCTAACTCTGTTCATAGCAGTTTGTTAATTTTTTCAATCCCTGGGGAGGTGTCTTTTCCTTTGCCCTGATATTTCAAATGTTATCATTCTGAAATGTATGCTGGTAATTTTCACATGGGAACTATGCAAATAGCTTTCAAGTTAGTATTTTAATTTTTACCAGTTTCTTAAAGGAAGTTTTACCTTCATGGGCAATCTTTTACTTTTATCTACTTCTAAATAAATCTTAAAATCTTGGATGTTTTGATGTGCGAAAAATTTCTTCCTAATTAAAAAAATTGTATCTTCGAATATTAGTGTTTAATTGGTATTTGTTAAATGTTTTCATGGAGAGATGGCTAGGTGATAGATTGCCTCATCCTTTATACTAACTGGATGAAGGTACCATATATATGTGTATGTATGTGTGTATATATACACACACACAACACCACTCCCCCCCCACACTGTGTAGATATGGCTATTTAAAAAAAATTTTTTTTGCAAGTTTGATAAATGGAAACATTAAATATCATTGTTCACAGTGTATGATCTAGGTACATTGTTTAGCTGTGCTTTCTTGGTACTAATGTTCATACTATTTTCCTTAATGGGATAGTTTCACTTCTAATAGCAGTATTATCAATAATATGGGTAAATTTCTAGAGGGTAATTTGGCAGACTTAAAATATTAATACTTTTGGCCTCATAATTTCATTTCTACAAATTTGCCTCAGAAAATATTCAGAGAAACCCACAAAGATGTGTATATTTACTGTTTTATTTATAATAGTGAAAAACTATAGAGAGAATCTGTGTCAACAGTAGCAGAATGTTAAAATTGTTACATCCATTCAAGATCTTATACTTATACATTTCATGTTTTACTATAAAATTCTCTTTTCCAAATTTTCTGCAGTTTCCTAATCAAAAGGAATAAACACATATGTGATGGTATAGAATTACTGGGTATCTTCTGCCAGGCCGGAAAGTGACTATTTAAATTGCCAGGTCAAACTCCTCTATCTTCTCTAATAAAAGAGTAAGGATTCTTTTCTTTTAGGACGAAGAGAAGTCAAACTACGTAGTTTAAAGAGAGGAAGGATGTGGGTGACTGAAGGACAAGTGGCGAGGGCTGAAGTTGAGAAAAGATTCTGGGGTTATACTGAGTTGGGGAGGTTTGGCTTGTGAGACCCACCTGAAACAACTGTTGCATGGAAGAATGTAGGAAGGAGCTTTACAAAAGTGTTTGAGTTATAAGTTAAATACTGTTTAATGGTTTTTTAAGAGAAAAAAAAATTACTTTTTTCTCTAATTACTTTTTCTGTCTTTTAAAATGTGATTAGAATTTGAGCCATATGCCCTCCATCCATTAGGGTTTCATATTAGTAATAAGAAAAAAACATGGATACTCAATATAGTGCTGGTTTTCACTGTCAAGGATGCAACTCTCTACTTAAGTAAAAGCCTTAATCTGTTGTGCCTCAATTTCTTCATCTTTTAAGTAAGAATATTTCTGCCTTTATTGAGGTTTGTTAATTTTTAGAAGTTATTTGAAATAACTTCTGTGTGTGCACGTGCGCTGTGCAATTACTAGGTAAATACACACATATGCACATAGATAGTAGATAGATAAATAGATGATATTTCTACTAATATGACAGTTGTGTGTGTTCATCATTTGAATTTCTGGTAATATTTGTTAATGATTTTTTGCCCATTTTTCTATTAATCTGTTAAAATTTTAATTCTTGTTGAGAATTGGTAAATGAGTAATATATCAATATTGAAATAGTCTTATGCATACTCTACTGTTGAAATAAATATTAATAAAATCTTGTGTTATTTATAACATTGTACTGCTTTAACAATATTTTTATATTATTTTAATTTGTCCCCAAAACAGTCTTGTGAGATGATCAGGGCATTAGCCCCATTTTATAGATACAGAAACTGAAGCTTAATTGCAGTAAACTTGTGCACCGTAACAATGCTGTTAAGTGCTATAGGTAGAATTGGATTACAGATCTCCAGAACCTCTCCTACAGGGCTTGTTCTACTATACCTTGCTGCCTCATGAAATGACTATATACCATTGAATTATCTTTACATATTTGCTGCCATGCACGAAGCTAAAAGAATGAAAGGGAAGTTTGAATGAGTACACAGTACTAGCTTTTACCATTAACCACACTCATATTTTGCTTCTTAAGATTGTTAGTCTCTGAACTCTTTGGGGAATGATTGGGAAGTCTACGTTGCTATGGTTTCTTTCTCACTATTTTTTAAATTTGATTTTTTGATTTTATTGTAGATGCTGTAGTTAATAAGGGAGGTGATGAGTCCGTAGGCAAAGGAGATGGTAAGAACTACTTAGAAGTATTTTCATGAAAATTAAAAGTGATATTATGTTATCTATTGCAGTGTAACAAATTACCCCAACACTTTGAGGCCTGCGAAGGTAAATTTTATCATCTCATAATTTCTGTGGGTTAAGAATCTGAGCATGGGTTTGCCAGTGTCTTTGCTTTATTTCTCTCCTGATGCTTCAATTAGGAGATCAGCCTGAGCTGAATTCAACTCAGGCTTGCCTGGGCAAGGATCTACTTCCAAGCTCATTCACACAGCTATTGGCCAGTGATATCAGTTCCTTGCCCATTGAGCCTCTCCATAGGGCAGGTAACAACATGGCAGCTGGCTTCCCTTAGAGGTGAGCGAGTGAGTGAAAGAGAGGCACACAGGGTAGAACACCCACAGTGTGTTTGTAACGTAAGCTTGGAGGTGACATCCCACCACTTTTGGCATATTGTTTGTTAGAAGCAAGTTACTAAGTCCATCTTGCATTCAAATGGAGGGGATTACACAGGGGCATGGATGCCAGAAGGCAGGGTTCATCAGGGGCTATCTTAGAGGCTCCCTACCAAGATATATACCATCTATATTTATCAGATTAACAATTGTCAGTTATCAAAAACGCATACTGACTAAAACAGTTAATTGCGCTTTTGCAGTTTTCAAAGTTTTTCATGTATAGTATCTTTTTAAACCTTGCTTATCTGGGAAATGGGTATGTATCATCATTCACATTTACATTTCAGCAAACAGACACAGAATTTTAAGATTTTTGCCCAAGAATACACATTCAATAAGGAGTATAGTTGAGAAACGAACCAGTCTTCTGAATTCAAATCCCATGTCTTCTATCATTTGAATCTGCCTATCATGCTGAGTGCTTTAATTAAATATCCAAGATTGGGATCCATCATATGCAGTGCAGTTTTTATCCTCTTCTTTTTCAGGCCTTGACTTTCTACCGCAATTGAACTCAATGTTTCCTCCAAGAAAAAATCCACTAACTTCAAACACTTCAGTATTGCATTCTAGTCCTCTTAATGTATTTATAGGATCTCCAGGGAAAGAAGAAAATGAAAATTATGATCCGACAGCTGAGCCTAAGAAAATATATCTGGGAAAACAGGAGACTAAAGACTCCTTCAAACAGGTATCTACCTGAAAATGATACTGAATTCACTGTGTGTTTATCACTAGAATGTCGGCAGCTAGTGGATATGTCTAGTTGACAGTGCTGTGCACTTACTGGGTGGAAAAATATTCTTAAATCTTGATGTCACTTTTTAGTAACTAAAAGATACTTTTGAAATCTGTCTTTGGGTATGTTGAAGGTAACAGCAGATGTAAACATGTACTATTTTTTCTAAGACAAGATACTTAATATACCTGTCTGTGTGATGATACTCTGTACATGGATTCTTTTAAAATGTATTTCCATTGCAGCATAAAACACTGGGTTGGTGGTCAAGTCATTTACTCTAAGTCCTAGAGCAAATTGATGGTACTAAGAATGGAATTTATCATCATTACCTTCTACTAAAATACAGAATCCAGTATATAATTTAATTTCTTATGTAAGGGTTTGAAATGATCAAATGATATCAGGAATGCCAATTCTGTTTTGTTTTTATATTTTTTAAGAATGGTATTGAAAAGATATCATGCAAGAAGTACAAAAATATCTTTTGATTCATTTAAAAAATATTTCTGACTAGTTAATCATATGAGAGTTTGGGGACTTTCCTTTTTTTTTGGCCGGGGATTTCCATTTTAAATGATATTCAACAGCAGATGCTTAGTAAATGAGCTTTTCCTCATTATGTTATCATTGAGATTGTTTTTGATTAGTAAACTTATTTTGCTGCTAGTCCTAGTGTTTTTTTTTTGTTTTTTGTTTTTCTCTCCTTCTATATCTTTTTCTATTCTTCATTTATACCCCTGACCCTACCTCCCGGGAAAAAAAGAGAAAAATAGGTACAAATTATGTGGGTAATATGGGTAAACAAGAAATTATGTAGTAAAGTAATTGTTTATTTTAAATGTAAAGTTTGCAAAGTTGATCTCCTCTGGTCCTGAAACTGGGCATCTAAATACCCCCACATCATCTAACCAAACAAGAAATCCTGAGAAATTTGAAAAGCCAGAGAAAGAAATAGAAACCCAGTTGATATGTGAACCCCCAGTCAATGGATCCTCAACTCCAAGTAAGTACATAAAACTTCCTGATGTTTAAAAAGTGAGCTGAAAAGTCCTTCCAGTTATTTAACTTGAAAAGGATAAATAGAGTGATCATTGACTAAAAACGTTTAAGGAGTTTAAAGTTTATGGGCACTTCTCTAGGATAGCTCTCTTAGTAGAAAATGATGAAATGTGTGAGAATTGTTAAATTGAGTGACATTGATTTGATTCTCTTTCAGTGTCTATTTCATTTTCAGGCTAATATATGTAAGTGTCTTGATTTAATATGATATAGATAGACTTATAATGTAGGACCCTTTGAAAAGGGGTGGTTAACTACATGAAATTTAAGTTTTTTTCTTTTTCATATTAAAATTTGATCTTTAGAGAATATACTACAGTCCCATGAAAACTTGATTGCATTTAAAGGGATGTTAGGTTCAGCTATAAGAGTTATCTATACAAAGCAACTCTTTGTATAGAAATAACTCTTTTATATAGGTATGTATATTTTACTTTAAGGTTTCTGTGGATGTATTGTGTTAGCTTAAACTCAAGGGCTTTGCCTGTAGCACTACTTTACTCTGATATGCCTTCTGTTTGTTTTTAATAGTCTTGGTTTATCTAGTTTGTCATGCAGCTTGTCACATTCATCTTTTATAAGAGGAAATGGTTCAGAGATTCTTCAAGATTAATCCCTCCGTCATATGTTATTACATTAGACAGTTGGCAGTTTATATATATAGATAAATGACTATTAGAAATAATGTCATAGAAAGTTTCTAAGATTTGTGTTCCAGACACTGAATTTTTCTAAATGTCACAGGAACACTGTTCTCTGCCAGTTTCTCAAGTTTTCTCATGCCAAATCTTATTTAGAAATGTTTGATGTCTCTCAGTCCAAGTTGACTATTAATATTTTCTTCATTCTTTATTTTAGATCCAAAGATAGCATCCTCTGTCACTGCTGGAGTTGCCAGTTCCCTCTCAGAAAAAATAGCTGATACAATTGGAAATAATCGGCCAAATGCACCATTGACATCTGTTCAAATCCGTTTTATTCAGAACATGATACAGGAAACATTGGATGACTTTAGGTAGTAACTGAAAAATTATCTAGAACTTAAATGGTTTTTTTGACGCATGTAAAACTAGATCTGTATCAGTGTTGGTGGTTAACTACTTTTGTCTAGGTTCTGGTGTCATAAAATCATAGAAAACATGATGAGTTTTGTTGATCTTGATGTACTGCATTTATTGATCGTCAGCCAAGAAAAGGCACATTTGCCTAGTGTACGTAAGTAACTTGGCAGGGCAGTCTAGCAGGTAGGCTGCCATTGTGCATTTTTTTATCATCAAAATGTGAATAGATTCTGGTAAGCTCAAATGGTGTTCTTACATGCATTATTTATAGATCAACTCTTAACTACGCTATGTGCAATAATGTAGTAGCGAAAGATATTTTAAAAAGGACTTAAGAATATTTTCAAATACAATACATTAGAATGTAATATTCAACCTAAAAAAACTTTTTTCAAGAACTATCTTTGTCTTTCTCTTTCTCATTCTTTGAATTTTGAACATTGTAGGAATGTGTTCTAGAATGCTGCCTCCTTTTTACTTATCTCTATATTTTGAAAACTATTTTGAATTATTAGAATCTTTTGTGTATTTTCCCTTTCTAACCTATAGTTACTTAATATTCTAGCTTAGATTTGGGTTATCATGAGCAAGAATGTTGGAAAAGATGTACAGTTTTTATAGGTGCATGGTTTTTTTAATGTTTAAAAATACTTTTAAAAATTTTTATTTTTTTATTGTTATAAAATATATATAACATAAGGATTGCCATTTTAAGCATTTTTAAACATGTAGTTGAGTGGGATTAATTACATCAATAATACTGTGTAACCACTACCTCCAGCTATTTTCAAAACTTTGTTGTCATCATAAACATAAACTCTGTACCCATTAAGCAGTAATTTGTCATTATTTCTTTTGCTTATTTCTTCCCCCTAGTGTATGGTAACTTCTAATCTACTTCTGTCTCTGAAATTTTTTTTTCTATATATTTTTTAATTGAAACATGGCAAGTGTATATATTTATGGAGTACTATGTGATATATGGATACATTTGTTCAGTGTGCAGTGACCCATATCGGGGTTATTTAGCATATCTATCACCTCAAACATCTGCCACCTATTTGTTTTGGGAACATTCAACATCCTCTTGTCTATCTACTTGAAGTTACACAGTAATTTGTTGTTCACTGTATTCTCTCTGTGTTGCTATAGAACACTGGATGTTATTCTTCCTCTCTCTAAAGTTTTGTATCTACTGACCACCATCTCTCCCCCTTTATTCCCCCTTCCCCTTGCTAGTTTCTAATAACCACTATTCTACTCTCCACTTTCATGAGATCAGCTTTTACAGCTTCCAGATATAAGTGAGAATATAGTGTTTCTCTTTCTGTGCCTGGCTTATTTCACTAATCAGAATTTTCTCACCTATGTTGCTGTAAATGGCAGAATTTCATTTTTCATGGCTGAGTATATTCTATTATGTATATATACCACATTTTCTTTATCCAGTCATCCACTGGTGGGCATTTAGGTGGGTTCCAAATCATGGCTATTGTGAATAGAGCCATGGTAAACACGAGAGTGCATGTATCCCTTCAGCATGTTGATTTCCATTCCCAAAAAGTGCGATTGCTGGATTCTGTGGTAGTTCTATCTGTTGTTTTTTTAGAAACCTCCATATTGTTTTCCATAGTGACTGTACTAACTTACATTCCCCCCAACAATGTATAAGAGTTCCCCTTTCTTTGCATCATTGCCAGTATTTGTTACGTTCTGTCTTTCTGATAAAAACTGTTCTAACTGGGTCAGATGATATGTCATTGTGGTTTTGATTTGCATTTCTCTGATGATTAATGGTGTTGGGCATTTTTTCATATACCTGTTGGCCATTTATATGGCTTCTTTTGAGAAATGTCTATTCGGCTCATTTGCCCATTTTTTAATTGAATCTTTTTTTTTAAATTGAATTGTTTGAATTCTTTGTATACTCTGGATATCGCTCCCTTGTCAGGTGCATAGTTTGCAGATATTTTCTCCCATTCTGCTGGTTTTCTCTTCACTCTGTTGTTTCCTTTGCTGTGGAGAAGCTTTTTAGTTTTCATATAATCTCATTTGTTTAGTTTTACTTTTGTTGCCGGTGCTCTAGAATTCTTATTCATTAAATCTTTGCCCATTCCTATGTCATGAAGTGTTCCCACTTTGTTTTCTTTTACAAGTTTTAAAGTTTCAGGTCTTACATTTAAGTCTGTAATCCATTTTGAGTTCATCTTGGTATATGGTGAGAGATAGAGGTCTAGTTTCATTCTTCTGCATGTGGATCTCTATCTTCCCAGCACCATTTATTGAAGAGACTGTCCTTTCCCCAATGTAAGTTCTTGACTCCTTTGTCAAAAGTCAGTTGGCTGAAGGTATTTGCATTTATTTCTGAATTCTCTATTTTTTTTCCATTGGTCTATGTGCCTGTTTTTGTGTCAGTACCGTGCTTTTGTGATTACTATAGCTTTGTACGGTATTTTGAAATCAGGGAATGTGGTGCCCCTTTGTTCTTTTTGCTCAGGATTTCTTTGACTATTTGGGATCTTTTGTCCATATAAATTTTGTTTCATATAAATTTTTGGATTGTGTTTTCTATTTTTATGAAATATGTCATTGGTAGTTTGATGAGGATTGCATTGAATCTGGAGATTGCTTTGGGTAGTATAGTCATTTTGATGATATTGATTATTCGAATCCATGAGCATGGGATGTCTCCACATTTTTTGTGTGCTTAATTTCTTTAATCAGTGTGATATAGTTTTTATTGTAGAGATCTTTCGTCTCCTAGGTTAAATTTATTCCTAAGTATTCCGTTGCTCTTGTTACTATTTTAAATGTGATAGCTTTCTTAATTTCTTTTTCTGCTAGTTTGTTGTTGGTGTATCGAAATTTACTGGTTTTTATGTTGATTTTGGATTTTGTATCCTGCAGCTTTGCTGAATTTGTTTATCAGGTCTAGGAGTTTTTTGGTAGTCTTTAGTTTTCTCTCCATAGAAAATCTTTCTCTTTATTAAATTTCTCATTGAGATCATGAATTGTTTTTATGATTTTGTTGACTCATTTGTCTGTATTCTCTTGTATCTCAGTGAGTTTCTTTAAGATTATTAATTTGAATACCTTCTCTGGGAGGGTGCAGATGCACTTTCTTTCTGTTGGCCCAGGGTATGTTTGTTAGGGTAGGCACCTGTGAGCTGTTTTTCTGGTTGGAACTTGGCTCACAGAACTCAGCTCATTGACAGAGGTGCTGGAGAGATCTGCGTGTTTGAACTCTGACCTGGGACTTGGGGGTGCGTCAGTTCAGCAGGCCTGGATTGGCTTCCCAGACATGCAGGACTGTGGTCACAACTGCTCCTGGGTCCAGGCTTCAAGCCACTGTGATCAGGTTGTTGTAGCCTCTCCTGTGAGTGTGGAGCCTTAAGGCTGGTGAAGCAAATGGCTACTGGCTCCAGGGCAGGGCGTGCCCTTGCAGTGGCTCTATTCCAAGATGGCACCTAGAATACATGCACTGCATCACTCCAGAACAGCGGCACATACTGTGCACTCTCCATACCTCACCCTAGTGACCTAAGCCAATGCACTACAGTGCCATGTTTAGAATCTTCCTGCAGTAGGAAGTACAGGCCTCTGTGGTGAGGATGGGGGTTGGTGTGGGCCCTCTTCCTACCTTTTCCCAGCAAGAAAAACTCCTTCCTGCAGAAATCCCAGTAACAGAGACTTGGCATCTGAGGCTTTGTAACTCCCTCTCCTCTCTACGCTGCCATCCTGGGCTTTTGTGCTCCACAGGGATCTCACTAGTCTCCTGTTGTACCCCTGTGCTCTGCCACAGGTGCTCCCATTAATATTTAGCTGTTTGTTAGTTGTTCTGGTCCTTTTTTGTGAGAGGGACATGCCCCAAGCACCTCTAGTCAGCCATCTTGCCCCACCTTCTAAAAAATATTTTTAAATGTTAAAAAATATTTTTTAAAGAAACATCATGATTTTGGCATTACAGTGTATCCAGTATATGTATATGTATCAGATACTAAGAATACAAAATGAATGATATGCCCATACAAGCCTTATGCTTTAGTTGGGGTGGGTATGGTATATCCCGCTATTATGTGTGTTTCTTTAATGTAAATTAATTTATTTGTGATTGGTATTTAGGGCATTGTTGACAATATGATGAGAAAATGTTGTTTGTACATGTAACAGCATTCAAAATAAAGTACATGTGAACACAGTTGAATGCAGCAAACTCCCCATCAGTGTCCACCTCTGCTTGTTCACGTCCTCTTGGCTTCGTTGTGTGCTCTGTGTTAGAAGCACTTATTTTGTGATTATACCCCATCTTTGGGCATTTTGCCCTTTCCTCCATAACTTGACAGTTCCAGTCCTTCCTTTTGTATTTGATCTCCTTCCATTTAGTGACTATCACTTTTTTAAGGTAAAGTTTTTTATTATTCATTATTTATCTATTAGACTTTTACCATGTCTTCTTAATTGTGCCAGTTATTTTTATTAGGATTTGTTTTTGTTAGTGCTCTGGTTAGCAAGTTGCATAGGTTTTGAGTGTCTACCCCAGTCCTTTATTTTAATAAATCTTTTATTTTAATCTTTTATTTTAATAAACCCTTTATCTTATTTCTAGGTCCTGTTATTTTCAATGCACAGTTTTAAAGAATATGAGGTTTTTCAAGAATGCATAGATATTTATGGCATAATAGCAGAATCATCTGGATATACCTGACTATTATGTGAAGAAAGTTATGATGGAAACATGGAAAGGGAACAGTTTTTCTGCTGGGGCAGATTTAGGAAGGTATTGCTGAAGAGATTTTATTTTACACTGAAGCGTTGGAACAGCATGAGCAGAGACATGGTTGTAAATTCTAGGAGTGCTTGTAGAGAGTAGGTACTGTGTCAAGAGATGAGGCTAAAAAGGTAGTTATGAAGGCCTTATCACATAGGTAATAGAGAGCCATCAGAGTTTTTACACACGGGAGTGATGTAGTGCTGTTTATTATCCATTTTTTTAGCAGGTATTTGAGTGTCGGTTCACCACTGGCTTCAGATAATTTGAGGGCAGTGGGCTCAAGATGTTTCCTTCAGCAGGCCTGGAGATCTGAGTGCTGGGGTGACTGCAATCTCTGTGCTTTACAGCTCAGCTGCTGGCTTTTTGGGTTGCTAGAAGTTTATTCTTTCACTTTCAAGTCTGTTCCTGGATTTCTGTGCCTCTGGAGAGGTATGTCTGTCCTGCTTCTAGCCCTGAGGGCTGCAATAATGTGTGTGATGAAGGCCTACAGTCCCTGGGAAGGGTTCTCTTGATTCTCCTGCCCTGCCTTTAGCCCTCAGCATGCCGTGCATGTCTACACCTGGGGATGCGGGGTAGGGGCCTCTCTCAGCTATTCTGTCCCTCCCACATCTATAGGCAGCCTCTGCCTGGGACTCAGTAAGGACCCAGAGTGGCTCAGTGGATTTCTGTGAATTCACTTGCTGTGCCCTCAGCCTTCAGTAGGTCATGTAGAGTTACAACTGTCATTGAGGGGATAGAGGCAGGTGTTAGGGGGGCTCTCTCTCAGGCATTCTCCCTCAGCCATAGGGGGTGGCTGCTATCTTCTTCATGAGGGCCTGAAATGCTTCTGATGGTTGCTCTCAGTTCTCCTCTCCTGCTCTAAGTCTCACTAGACTCTGTGCACCCTCACCTTAGGGGTTCTCTCTCAGCTCTCCTGCTCGGCCTTTTAGTAATTTTTTACACAGCACTTAGTAAAGGCCTATGGGCAAAAGTTGGTGAGTAAATGCAGACTTTCTTTGTGGCTGGGGCTCCTTGGCATTCTCAACTTCATGCCAGACTTCACTCGGCCTTGAAAAATCTATAAAAATTTCAGCTAGTTCTTTTTGCCCTATCAAGGGCAGCTGTTTCCTGCCATTGCTCTGTTGAGGATGAAAATAATCATGGGTCTGTTTTCTCCTAGGAGGGCCTCATACTTTTCTGAGTTTAGTTCATTTAATTTAGTTCATTTAGATTTCTTTGCATTCTCGGCTTTCTGGTTGAATTGAAAAAATGTATGATTTTATAGGTTATCAGGCTTGTTCTCATTATAGGGTTGAGAGGTTACATCCTAAGCAGAAATCTGTCTATCTGTGTCTATTGTCTTTTGGGAAAATTTGTTTCTTTTGGCAAGCAGATCACTTTGATCCTGTAGTTGCTAGGTTTCAGGTTTTCTTAGAGCTGATTTATTTCTGGTTTGCCTTTATTCCTAGGTTTTAGTCTTTGCCCTCTGAGACATCAGCTGAATGTCTATGGTATTTACCATGTCTTTTTACTTTGGTAGGTCCTGAACTTTAACCTCTGTTTCACCAGCATCACATGGCTGCCGTAATACCTCTCTGCTGTTTAGCTGCTATTTTATGTTTGATTTCCTGCCATCTAGCCCAGTACAAGTATTGCTTAGGAGTCACAGATGCCTTAAGGGGAAATTGCACAGTTTCAGGCTTACTTTTCTATAAGTGTCCTGTCTTCAGGATCTTGGAACTTCCAGCCTTGGCTGTCTTGTTAGTCCCAAACTCTGACATTCCCCCACCCACTGAGACTGTCTCAAGCTCCAGACCACTGCTTCAGCTCTTTCTTCTCACTGTGGAATCAGCACATACAGCAGAGAGAAAAGCAGAGATGAATATGGGGTTTACCTACTAGACTTCCCTTCTTTGTAAGACCTTAGTCTTTCAAGCCCTAGCTTCCTTGTTAGTTCTCTGATACCTTCACTTTTTTTGTTTGTTTTTCATACAGCTGTTATCATAACTGAAAGCAGAAGAGGAAATTTTTTAAAATACGCTTATAGTTGCAGCAAAAAATAAGATACTTTGGAATAAATCTAACCAAAGATGGTGAATATATGTCTAGAAAAACATTTAAAAAATTTATTGGAAAGCATTAACACTTAAATAAGTGGACAGATATTATGAAGTTGTAAGTTCAGTTAAATTAGTCTGTAGATTGAATGCAGTTCCAATCAAAATCTCAACTGGGTTATTTGGAAGAAGATGATGAGATGATTCCAAAATATTTATGGAAGAAAAAAGATCCAGGAATAAACAAAATACTCCTAAGAAGAATAAGGTTGACGGGGACTTGTTTGTCAGATGGATAAGCTTAATGATAAAAATATAATTAAGGTAGTATAGTATTGGCACAGGGTGGACAAATTGGCCAAAGGAATCAAATAGCCTAGAAAGAAACCTATACATATACAGAAACTTGATATATGACCAAGATAACATAGCAAATCTGTGTGCAAAATATGGGATCATCAGTTAATTGTGCGGCGACACTTGGATATTCATGTAAAAAATAAGTGTGGATCTCTATTCCGTGCTATTGAAGAAATATCAATTCCAGATAAAATAAAAGTTTAAATTTTATGAAGGGCAAAATTTTGGACATTATAAGAGAGCTTTTAACATCAAGATAGATAAATTATTAAAAATAAGAGAGTGCACTACCTATAAAAATAGATTGGTAAATTTGACTGCATTATTAGGTTAGTAAATTTAAGTGTTTTAATAGGAACTGTAAAGTGATAAGAAAATAACTGCTGTATACATATAACCAACAAAGGCACATGTAAAGAACTCTTAAAAATGAATAAGAAAAAGACATGAATAGACATTTCACAGAAAAATAATGGTATATGAACATAAGGAAAGATATTCAGCCCCATAATTGATCAGAGAACTGAAAATGCAATGAAATACCATTTTATCCCCATTAAATGAGAAAGTATTGTAACTTAGTGAGGATAATAGAATAAGAGGAACTCTTACACTGATGATGAACATATCCATTGGTACTACCACTTTGGAAAAGAAATTGCATGATTTTATAAAACTGAGCAAGTATACACCTGGGTATATATCTGGATATATCATCTATAGACTTTGGCACCTGTGGGTTGGGAGATATACACATGATTATTTATAACAACATCGTAATGATAAAAACTTGGAAAACAATCCAAATATCAGTTAACAGGAAAATTAATATTATAAGTACAAACCAGTGAATTATGGATGCATAGAACATGAATCTTGAAAACATATTGAATTATTTCCTAAATATAAGCTACTCAGTTTTGCATAAGGTATGGTACCCTTTTTGTAAGGCTCCAAAGCAAGCACATTGAAAACATACTGACTACAGATTATATGTTATACAAAATTTTCTTTTACAAAGATATATCTTTGCTGAATAAAATTCAAGAGAGTAGTGACTTCTTTTTTGAGCTTTCCCCAAGAGTTAACTGATGGAAACAGGAGCACACAGGAAGCTTTTATTATTTGGTAACACCCTAGGTCATAAGTTGTGTGGTGGGTGACTGAGTATTCTTTTTATTATTATACTTCACAATTTTCATGTATTATTTTGTAGGTATGAATTAATTGCATTTTATTGAGTAAGCCATGTTTTAATCACCCAAATAGCCCCTTTCTACTGGAAGTTTTTTTTTTTTCCCCAATAGCCGAAATATTTATAATCAGATGATCTTTGTAACCTAGTGAATTCTCTATTTCACTGTAATTTAAGTCTGTATTTTTCCTTAATGATAATTTCTATATAAAGGAATAAAGTGGGAGTTCTGGAGGTGGACAGCCTGGGTCTGCCTCCTTAGCTACACTGTTTACTGATTGTGTAACTTTTGGACAAGTTATAACTGCTCTGTGGCTCTTACTTCATTGGTAAAATGGAAGTAATAATTATACCTAATCTTGAGCATTAAATGAGTTCCTGTATTTAAAGAAACAATGCCTAACATACAGTAAATAAATGCTAGGTCCATTGTGATTTTTATTATTGGAATAATTATTGACAAGTATTTTACATCCTTTTCTAGAGAAGCATGCCATAGAGACATTGTGAATTTGCAGGTGGAGATGATTAAACAGTTTCATATGCAATTGGTATGTATGGCAAATTATATTTTAAAATGAATGTAGAGTTGTGTGGATCTAAAGAAATCCATTGAAGGGCAATGTGTTTTTATGTAGTTGTTATATCTAGTTGCTAAGTTAAATAGGAGTTTTAAATATTTAATAATTAGATTTTAACTGGTCACCTCCTTTTTAACCTGTAATAGTGTAGGCCGCTTTTCACAGCTTTTTTCTCAAGAAGTAAGCAAAAAGCCTTCCAAATGTGCAAAGATAAATCTTCCAAATATATTAATTTCATCAGTGATCTTTCATTTGTATTAATAAAGTAGTGCAAAGTAGTAAGGGTGTTAAGTACAAGAAATATCATTCAGCTATCATTTTCAGCATGAGAAAACAATAGCTGCAAGTACATAAAACACAGCTTGCTAAATAAATTTGAAATACTAATCATTTAAAAAGCATTTTTCCCCTTTTTTTTTTAGAATGAAATGCACTCTTTGTTGGAAAGATATTCAGTGAATGAAGGTTTAGTGGCTGAAATTGAAAGACTACGAGAAGAAAACAAAAGACTACGAGCCCACTTTTGAAATTTCAGTGAATACCTTAATGTTTTTTAATTTGGGAAGTTTTCTGGCAACACAGAACTACACAGAATAAGTACTGTTTTCATGGCCTCTGGGGGAAAATTTTTTTATTCAAGTAAAAGCATGATGGGATTTTACACCAACCACTATTTCATCTTCTCTGTCAAAAATATTTATATTTTTATATTAAAAACTGTACAATATGTCATCTGCCTGATAAAGTCAACAGGATCTTTTTTTTCTGAAAGTGTTAGCTATGCACTAAGTGCCCTTTTTCATAAGAGAAGAAAATTGTGCATAAAAATATGTTGTGTATGTTTTTAATCACCTTTTTAATCTATATTTTTGATTGACAAATTGCCTTTCAAATTTTGGGGGGTAGTTGAGGTTTAAAGAGTTTGATATGCCTTCTATTTTTATGGAGAAATAATTTTAAAATGTTAATTGGTGTTTCTAAGCCATTGACTAATAAAACACATGGTTGGATGGTAATTATTTTAACTTGATGAAGTCATGTATGAATATTATTTATTACTTGTACATTTGATAAGACAATTTTTGGAATTTTGAATTGCACATATACATTATATATTTTGCATTACGTTACTGCATTGTACTTGTAATGAGTCTCTGCATCTGAGTGGTGTTATTTAGCTAACTTTACTATGAAAATCTTTGAAGAGTTTATAAGACTCAACAGGAGCTGTGTATCTGCTGATTATCTCATGAATTAATAACATGCAAAATTATATTGTAAAGTTTCAGTCAACGTGACCCAATTTATAATCACTTAAGATTTCATATTAGATACTAAATATTACAGTATTATTGCCATTTTTTTCTCCCAAGTGAGAATTGTAGATTATTTTGTTTTGTGGTTTGTATCATTAACTTTCTCTAATTTTTTGTGTGCTGTGCATAAATTTTTATATTATTGGCCTTACTATAAAATTATTTAGAAAGGTTAATTGTCAAAAGAATTTACACCTCTTTGACAATAGGTGGATGTGTACATCTGTGTGCTGTGATCTACAGTTTTAGTGGTATAAGATTAGGAGGGCTACTGACTTGTTTACCTTCTCGTCTCTTGTTCCAAAGATTTAAACTACATACCTTGTATATAGCTCTCCTAACCAATTTTGACTTCTGAGATGAAAATACTTACTAAAATTAAAGAAAAAAAATTAGTTTAGCTTACTAACTTTATGTTTTCAAAGTGATGAAAATGTTTAAGGATATATTTAATAAGTGTAAACATACTATTACTGCTAAAAATAAAAACAGAAATATTACTTTTTTCCAGTGTGGCTCAAATAATACATTTGAATTGAAGCATACAGAGGTGTTAATGTGATCTTTTCCTGACAGATTATGAAAGTATTGTGACTTGTAACAAGTTTCCTTATAAATCACTATCACACAGCTTTAGAAGACATAAATATTAGTGTGTTTTGCCTACACTCTGTATTTAAATCTATTAATATTTTCCTATTGCCTTTTTCTATAAATGTAAATAATGTGTATTAAAAGAGGGGGATAAATAAAACAATTTTAGTAATTTTATGTGTATAGGCGAAGCACTTTGTTATGGAATTAAAAAGCTAATTTAGTACAAAAAATAAAATTTATATATGCAAAATATAGGAAATGTGAAATTGAACTTCTGCCTCTGGTCAAAATGGAATTATAGGGGTTGGACTTACTTTTCTACCTGAAATAATAAAAGAGACAACATACGTGAAACAGTTGTCAGATAGTGGACATTAGGCAACACAAGACAGTGATCTCTGAGAAGGGAAACAAATGAGACTCAAGAAACTCAGTGAATCCCAAATTCAAGAAATGAGAAAACTGCACCAAGGCACATCATAATCAAATTCCTTAAAATCAGCAACGAGGGAAAAAATTTAAAAGCATCTAGAGAAAAAGACACAGGAACAAAGTAAGAATGTCAGACACTGGAGCAATATATTTAAAGTACTGAAAGTAAAAAAATTTAGAATTCTGTGCCCAGCGAAAATATTTTTCAAAAACAAATTTGAAATAATTTTTCTAGGTTTTTCAGACCTAGGAAAGCTGAAAGATTTCATCACAAGCAGACTTGCACTACAGGAAATGTTAAAGAATGCCTTTAGTTAGAAGGAAAATGGTACAAGATAGAAATCTTCAACTACACAAAGGAATGAAGAACACCAAAAAAGGTAAATATGTGAGCAAATGAAAAAACATTATTTTAAATTTTTGCTTTAAAATAATACATTATTTATAGCAAAAAGTAAGGTGTTGTACAAGGAATCTTCAAAAAGTTCGTGGAAAGGTTCATATTATCTTTTAATTTCATTTTTCCACAAATTTTTTGAAGTGTCCTCATATGGTTAAGATACGTAAAGTGAAATGTATTACAATATCATCAAGGTTTGAAGGTTGAAAATGAAAATATACTGCTCCGTGGTACTTACACTAACTGTGACACAGTATATTACCTGGATGTAGATTGTGATAGGAATGTAAACAATAAACCCTAAAACAACCACGAAAAGAAAAGCAGTTAATAAATAATAAACAAAGGTGATAATAAACCATAAAAATAAATCCAAAAGAATGCAGAAAAAGAAGAAAGGGGAACAAAGAATAGATGGAACAAATAGAAAATTAAGGTAGTAGATTTGAACAGCAATAGCAATAATTACATTAAATGTAATTGTCTTTTTAAAATTCAGCTATCTACTGAATACAAGAAACCCACTTTAAATATAAAGACACATCATTTATATATAAAAAGAAGAAATAAAACGTTAGATTATTAAACTGACTGCAAGTGAAAACAAGATATTAAAATTTGTGGAAAGCTAGAGAAGTACTTGCAGGGAAATTTATAGCATTATCATGTGTATATTAGAAAAGGAAAGATATCAAATCAATGACCTGAGCTTTCATTTTAAGCTACAAAAATAGTAAATAGATCTCAAAATAAGGAAAGGAACAAAAAAATGCAATAGAAAAAATCAATTAAGGAAATCAGTGAAATTAAATGCTAGTTTTTTGAGACCTATAAAATTGGTAAACCTTTAGCTAGATTGATGAGAAAAAAAAAAAACACACACTAATTACCAATATCAGGAGTGAGAGAAGTGACATCACTACATATTCTACAGATATTTCTTTTTTTTCCCCCCCTGACCGGTAAGGGGATCGCAACCCTCGGCTTGGTGTCACCCGCACCACACTCATCCAGTGAGCACACCGGCCATCCCTATATAGGATCTGAACCCATGGCCTCGGTGCTACCAGCACCGCACTCTCCCGAGTGAGCCATGGGGCTGGCCCTTTACAGATATTTCTGATGAAAATGCCAAACCTAAATGGCTGCAGTGGTGAATTCTTTCAAATATTTAAAGGAGAAAAGATCCCAATTTTTAACAAATTCTTCCAGGAAGTAGAAGAGGAGGGGCTAATTCACAACTCATTGAGACCAGCATTATGCTGATCCCCAAATCAGGCAGCATCATGACAAGAAAACTACAAACTAACATCACGAACACAGACGTAAAAGTTCAAGGCAAAATTTTAGCGGTTTGAATCCAGTGATGTGTATAAAAGATAATACAGGGCCGGCCCGGTGGCGCACTGGATAGTGCGCCGCTTGGGAAGTGCGGCAGCGCTCCCACCCGAGGGTTCGGATCCCACATACAGACCGGTTCCTGCTCACTGGCTGAGCGAGGCGCGGGAGCAACGCC